TGTTATGAATTTAAGCACTTATACACCTGCAACTGGTACCAATATAATATTGTTCGACGTAGGGATGGGCAACGGTTATGGCGGGCGGGTAACCGTGGTTATTTATCCATAACCGTTTATGTTCATACCCGCATAACCGTTTACCTGTTGGGTAATTGTATAAACAGTTATACCCATAACCATAACTGTTTATAAACGGTTATCCATACCCATAACCGCGTACCCATTTAACCATAACCATTTACCCATTTAACCATAACCATAACCATTTACCCGTTTATCATTTTTTTACCCATTTACCCTTTTTTCACCAATCTACATGTTTTTTTAACAACTTCAAAATTACAAAAGAAAAATTTGTCATAATTTTCGTTTTCTAACAATTAAACACCATTATAGGTACATTTTAGCATGCATTTCCCTATTTTAATCATTTAAGTCCTCGTACAATTCTAATAATTGAAATAATAATTTACCCCTATTTTATTATTTCAATTATATAAAATAATAGTTTACGCCTATTTCATATTTCATGGAGAGAAATGCGACTTTCAATTATTGTAAAATAATAGTTTACACCTATTTTATTATTTCAATAATGGTAAAAAAGCAAAGTTGGGGAAGATTTGAATCCGAACTTGGCGCTGTGTGGAAATATAATTGAAGTTTGGCTCTATTGGTTACGGCCTGGGGTCGTAGGTTGCTGGGAAGGAGAGGAGACAGAGAGCCTACTTCTAAAACCCCTCAAAATTCATAATTTTTTTTTTAATTTTTACAAATATTAAATTAAGAGAAATTTTATTTAAACTCATGTAACCTATTTTTACACCAAACTTACTCTTTGCACCCATTTGATTTAACTAAACTATTAATATCTCTTTAAACACAATTTACTACCTAATATATCCCCATAAACCCAATTCAATATGTGGATTTATTTTTACACCCATTTGATTTTTAAATCTATCTTTACGCCGTCTGGAAATGGACATTGAAAATTAGGGTGTGAATTCAGCCATGGCTGACAACAAGACTGACACTTCTATAGATGTTGACAATATTTTGAAATCTTCTCCAGGCATGATTCTTAGACAAATCATGCATAGACATCAAACTCTCATAATTGACCCCTTCAATTGCTTCCGTAAAAGCATTCTTCTTAACATCATTATATATTTCCTCTCCTTGCTTGATTTATAGGTGAATATAGGTTATGCATTGTGTCTTGAAAGCGAATCATTTGATTAGGTTCCATGGTAATATGAAGAGTATATGTTGAATCTGATATTATTCTCATAGGAAGCCTTTGCTCAATGTCTCATGGTACTCTCGGAAGGAATTGTTTACCCTGTGCAATTTATAAAGGTAAGAAATGTTATACGTTTTTGGGCGAATGCCTAATTGGCATGGTACCGAAGAACAAACTAGGATATAAATTGCACAAGGAAAAATGATAAAAGCTTTGGGGAGAAGTTGCGTAAGTATTTCAATCTCGTACAGTTCTAAATTGAAAAAAAATCAATATGCTTATCTAAAAAAATTTCAAAATCATACATTGGTTGGAGGATTCTAAACTTCATAATCACCATCCATAAATAAAAAATAAAAAAAAAACTTGTTTTTCTCTATAAGAGCTATTAGGGTTTTAGCCAGAATGAAGGAGGATAAACAAAGAATAATCATAGGGTTTAAGTATAGTATTTGGGTTTATTGATAAATTTGAGTTTTATTATTAATTTTATTTTGTACTTAATAGTAATTATGCAATAGGGTAAAATAGACAATTAACATTTAAAATTTAAGTTGGATGTAAAAATAGGTTACATGAGTTTAAATAAAATTTCCCTTAAATTAAATGGGTAAATCATAAATGGATACCTGTATAACCGCGGGTAATATTTATAATCGATGGATACCCGTTATAACCGCGGGTAATACCCATAACCGTCCATTTAAATTTCACGAATAAACAGTTATACCCATAACCGTTTGTTCGTCTAAACAATTACCCATTACCATAACCGTAACTTTTAAATGGGCGGATAACTGCGGTTATCCAAACCTATGGGTATTTTGCCCATCCCTAGTTCGGCGTGTCTCTTATCGTAAGACAAAAATCAAATGTTTTGTTTTATTCTTAATGGAAACTTTCCATGACTTTTTCATGGATCAAAAAGTGTTTTATAAATGTTTCTTCCTAAGCAATATGAGGGAGAAGGCTAAACGTGTTTTTATAAATGTTTTTCTCTCTCTGTCTCTCTAGGTGGCTGTGACGAACTTCTTCGGTTCTATCATGGAAACAATACATACTGATTCAACTTACAAAGCCCTTTCGAGAACAAGTTCAAGCAGAGCTGAATTCAAGATGCCCTTTGATCAATCAGTCAATGACAACGAAAGCATAGCTGAATTCAAGATGCCCCATGGAGTTGGCACTTTGGTTGACTGTACGGCTCTCACCTGTTCGTCGGGCTACAAGGAGAGGACATAGTTAGTTCTGAAAGGTGTCGTTGTCGGGCCTTAGGTATAGGTCGTGAGACTCGTAATCAAAACTAACTTAAGTGCAGAGGCGCGCCACTACCATCTCTGTATGGCAGATGTAGAATAAGTATATTTAAGTCGATTACTTGCGCCCCAAGTTATTCTGACGTCTTATTATCAAAGGATTGTCTTGGATGAGTTAAGTCCACATTAGGTTCTTTTCTATGCCTTTAGATCAAGGACTTTTATTTATCTTGTATGGTAAGAGGGCGGAGGTCCAGATCTGATCAAGTCATTAAGTTAATTCATTTTAGGATGGTAAAACCACTAATTTAACCAGATCTGAGGGTGAGTGAAACTTTGGATCATTAAAAGACCTAAAATGACTTGAATATAGATTGAGGAATGCATTACAACACCAGATCTATTAACTGAAAGACAAACCAAAGAGAGTCGGCCAAGATTTAACCTTGTCGGGCAAGGCTGAACCTCTTGCCGTTTCTCTTTTTTGCAACTACAAGGATTTGGGGATTTAAGGAAGGATGGATGGTAAACAAATTTACACAAGAGAATCGATACTACAGTATTTGGAGAAAGTAGCAGAGCTTTTACATAGACAAAAGATGTCTTCTACGGGAAATCTAAGTCTAAAAGGGATGCAGAATCTGGGCAAAGCGCAGCTTTCTGAGTATTTGTTTGACTGAGAGGCAAGTTGTATATTTGTTTGTTTGATTGGTTGAGTGTCCTTATCTCTGGGCCCTCTTCCTCATTTTATAGGCGAATTAGACTGACTGCTTGCAGCTTTGTTCCTGCCCGAAAGCAACTGAGGGGTAGTGACTTATTAGTAATTTACATACTCTGCCATTCATAAAGTACTTTTGGGATGAAAGTAAGTCAATTTCCATCAATTGCCACTTCTTACAGGCCACTAGCCTTTGCATTTAATGGGGGAGTGCCCATAAATCTTGAAATGGATAATTTGGGCTTAGGCGATGGGCCTCAAGCAAAACCTCCTTCTTGCATTCTTTTTGGGCTTCCCTTTCTGACAGTTCAAAGTTTAAATATTAACCCAAACATGATGTCCACTAATCTCATCCTCATTTCCCATGTCGGTGGTATCAAAACGAAACATATCAAGTCTTACGTACAAATGAATGAGCTGTGATGCACTTAATAAATGGACCACTAAAACCTTAAACAAGAAGAAAAGATCAAATCGGATTGATCAACCTTTATCGTGTCACCCAACCCACCTCTATGAAATTGGGACATTCGAACCTCAGCCACACTTTTGTCATCTGGAGCCCACGCTATTCGAATTTTGATAATCCATTTCTCTCTCTCTCCAGTACATTGCAGATAATAGGGTTTATAACATTCTTTTTTTTTCTGCGCCAAATTCCACATATATATGATGCATCATGTGTGTACGTATGGTTCTAAAATGATGACGTATCAATTCCATCGAAGTCGTTATCCTAATTACTAGACGTTTCTTCACCGGTTTGGATTAACAAACCAAACTTCAAGTAGCTAGTCCAGGATGGGTGGCACTTGTTACTTTAGATGTAGGGACAACCGGAGGAATTTCCAAGTGCTGTGTGGGGGTGCATGATCCATAATTGCACTTGACCAAACTATGGACCTTACAATATTGTTTTTTCTCCATTAATTTGACCATCTTGAAATAATATTGGCAGCTCTCCTCTCCCCTCTCCACCAAACACTATGCGAACTTTAATAATTATGATTAACTTAGTGTGTAATTTTATTTTGATAATGGACTCATAATTAATCATTTACTTAAAAAATAATATTAGCAGGAACTTGGAAAGTACGGAAGGTGACGTGGGTGAATTAAAGCCAGAACATGCATGTGCAAGAAATTGCAACTTTCTGTCTTCGTACAATGAAACTTTTGTCCACAACCTTCCAATATCAACGCATCCCATTGGCCCTATGTACGAACTATTGTGCGCTCTCTCTTTTTTTTTCACTCTTTCTTAACGGAAAAGGATCATCGGATAATGGGAATTCCGTAATTGTGACAGTTCATTGTATATAATACGTTCAGAAATTATTTTAAATTTTAATTTTAAAATTAAATATAAATAATACCTAACGAAAACTGACCGCACAATATACGATGAACGATCTTCTAAGAAAAGGACCTCCTTTTCCTTTCTTAACCAGCAATTTGTCATAATTTTTTTTAAACCACTTTAATCAAATATTTCTCTCTCCCTCTCTCTTTCTCTCTCTCTCTTTTGCTTTGTTCCACAGAATTGCATTCCTATTTTTATATATTTTTGTATGAATATGCATATATAATTATAAAAGTCGGTTTCGTGAGAGCAGTGTCCCATTCAATCATTTTAGTTGAGAAGTTCTCGTTCAGATCTGAGCCTGAGAGCATCCACTACTCACTACAATGGGGGAAAAGGAAAAGGTACCTAATTTTGGTATAGTTTGTGTTCTCTTTTTTTTTTTTTTTCTTCTGAGGATAAGCAGATAACCAAAATGATGATTTGTATGGCCAAAAATAAAAGGCTTTAAGCTCTTGTTCAAGTTTTGTGGTTACTATTCTTTTATTTATATCCTAATAAGAATTTACGTCCCCTCCTCTGTGCTATTTTGTTGTTTTTTGCCTCTCTCTCTCTCTCTCTCTCTGTTCAAGATTTTGCCACATACCTTCACCATGATTCTTCCCTGTCAGTCAGTCAGAACCCTGATTGTCCAGCAGCACTGTTCCACTTCTTTTTGTCTACATTTCTGCACAACAATCTTCTGTATATTTATATATTTTCTAAAAATTCATTCTTGTCAATCTTTGGTTAATGTACATATTTTTTTGTATTAATATTAAAAATGGGTAATTCAGGTTACGATTATGGTGCTGAAGGTAGATCTTCAGTGTCACAAATGCTACAAGAAGGTTAAAAAAGTTCTTTGTAAATTCCCTCGTGAGTCTCTCTTCTCCTTGATTCATCTATAATTATTTGATGAAAAACCAAAGTTAAAGTTCTTCCTTTTTGGGAAATTAAGATTAATTTAGATTAAATGTAAACTGAGTAAATTAATGTGTGTTTGTGAACAAAAGAAATACGAGACCAGGTATACAACGAGAAACAAAACCAAGTGGTGATCAAAGTGGTATGCTGCAGTCCAGAAAAGATAAGGGACAAGATTTGCTGCAAAGGTGGGAGTGCCATCAAGAGCATCGAGATCATGAAAGAGCCCGACGTCAAGCCTAAAGGTGACGGTAAGGGTGACGGTAAGGGTGACGGTAAGCCTAAAGATGATGGCAAGCCTAAAGATGACGGCAATCCTAAAGATGACGGCAAGCCTAAAGATGACAGCAAGCCTAAAGATGACGGTAAGCCAAATCCTGGACCACCATCGCCTCAGCCAGTTCCTTGTGTGCCGGCGCACCGACCGCCTGTCCGAACGTGTTGTATGGAATGTTACCAGGGGCATGCAGGTGGGCCATGCCATAATCCTGGACCGCCACCACCTCAGCCGGTTCCTTGTGTGCCAGCGCACCGACCGCCTGTCCGAGCATGTTGTATGGATTGTTACCAGGGGCATGCAGGTGGGCCGTGCCATAATCCTGGACCGCCACCGCCTCAGCCGGTTCCTTGTGTGCCAGGGTATCGACCGCCTGTCCGAGCGTGTTGTATGGATTGTTACCAAGGGCGTGCAGGTGGGCCGTGCCATAGTGGTTATGGCGGGGGCCCAGCCCCGTACGTCCAGTATGATGGTTACTATGGAAGGCCTGTGTATGACAGTTACGGCGGGGGCAGCATGGGGTACTGTGTTACCCGCCCTGACTATTTCAGTGAAGAAAATACCTCAGCTTGCAGAGTCATGTAAATCATCGATCATCTTGTTGGACAGTTACATCTTCTTCAATATCGGGATAATATTTTAGCAGTGTTTGTTGGTTTGATATTAATATTATAGGAGGGCCATGTATTGTTAAGTGAATAATAAAGTTGGTTGATCTTGGTGGACGTCAAGTCACAATCACGTTAATCTGTTCATTATATCATTAATATAGAGTATAGAGAGAAAGAGATACATCCCATCACAAAGATGAAGATGAAGATGAAGTTGGTGCCTGCTACAATTTTCAATGCAATATAAGTTTCCATTCCACATTCCCTTCTTTGTCCTGCACAGTGCACATGCGTTCTTATTAGTCATTTCCTATTTCGCAAGAAATGTGGAATTGATAAAAATCATTAATATAGGCTATCTTATTAGTCATTTCCTATTTTCCAAGTTGATTTTTATCAACTACTAATTAGCAATTGGTCAAGAGTGGAATTGAGGATGTGTGAACAGAAGAATCTAGCTACCTATCTCATTTACCTTTTCATTTGTCTTTCTCATTTATTAAGTGTAACATGAATTCTATTAACACTAAAACAAAATTTTTATTTCCAAAAGTAACTTCTCTCTCCTACCAGATTCAATTCTCGTGTTCTAATCTAAACTAATTTTTTTTCTTTACCAAAAATAAAAACCCACCCAAAAGCAAACCCTAGTAGAATTTACGTGACAACTAATGATGAGAAAGACAAGTAGGAAAAGATAAGGAAAAGAATGTAGCTACCATTCCTCATCTGACAATTCTCACCTATTTCATTGTTTCAGTCCCTACATTATTAGATTCTATCATAAACTATTATTAGGGGATTAAATTTACAAATTAAATAATGTGTCACCAATAAAAATGAGCACGTTTATCAATATTTAAGTAATAAATCAATCATCAATTTTCATATTTTTTTAATTTTCAAAATTTATTTATAATTCAATCTCCCTAACAATACCTTAAACTAAACAAACCCTCGATCCCTCGGCACCTCCAAATGTCAACAAGAAAGAGAGAGAGCAGCAGCAACCTAGATACGTGTGTAATAATGTGTTTCCAGAAAGAACTACTCCTATGGCTGCTTCTCATTCCATTCTCCTTTTCTTTGTTCGAGAATTGATTGATTTGTTTATAGTAAAATAAGCAAAGGCCAAAACCCCACAAGTCTAATCCAACACCAAGTTTGTATTCTGGCTGATACCATTTCTACAAAACTCACCATTTCCTAATGGCTCGTATTCTGTGTCAACAACATATTATTATGCTCAATAGTTAATTTCTTTGGAACATTATGGAGATTGTGGACAGTTAAGATGGTTTTATTATTGATTTTGTATTACGATAAGAGTGATTTTGAACACCTTATGTAACATAAGTGTCCACGAAAAAAATCTTGCGATAGCTCATCAATTGTTGCATTTTCTACAAAATTTGTGAGCTAAAAAAACTCACAATTTTGTTATCGTTTGTGATTTCTTTATATTAAACCCATCTTTCCTAGACGTAAGCTTTTGAACATTTGGACCTACAAAACGATGATAAAACTGCTATGAAAAAGCTTAATCATAACATTTTCCTTAATGCTTATGCAAAACGATGCCTATTTTAATCAACTTTTTATCTTATCGTAAAGCTCTTGGAAATTCAAGTTGGGTTTCGAACATCTTCTTAACCCATAAAATCACTTCCAGGCCCGATAGAAGTTCAAAAAGATATTTATCCACCTGTAGACGGACAAATTTGCCCCTATGAAATATTAGAAGGTCCGTATACTCATACTCATCAGGCTAACATAGTAATTAAGTCCCCTCCTATACCCTGGAATGCAAAGCAAAAGAAAAGCACTTTTCATAATCCCAGACAGGGTGAGGAAATGGCTTAGAGCAAGTCCACCCATGGACATTGCTCGGGGACAGGGGAGAGGAAAGGGCCCGAGGCCCGGTGGACAATGCTCCAGCCTTGGAGAGCCCGAGTGAGGGTGGGAGCACGAGGGTCGGGGGGGGGGGAATCGACGGGCCTGCAGCCCGAGGACCAAGCCTTATTTAATTTTTTTTTTGTCAGGCGCGTGCTCCTCACTCGCGAGTGGGAGCGCGTCGCCCGACCGGAAATCAGGCGCCAGGGCCCGCGCGTGCAGAGATTAATTATTTGAATAAAAAAATTTAAAAAATGTAAAAAATCCGAAAAAAATTGTAAAAAATCTGAAGAAAAAAAAATTCTTTTTACTTTTCTATAAATACCACTTCTTCTCCATCTACCTTACACCACAATGACACATGGCGCAACGAGAACGATTTAAAAATTCTTATCCGAAATTACAAATAATTTTATTTTGTATTATTTAAACAAACAAAAAAACTAATATTTTATTGCCTATTTCCAGGGGGAGGGCTCCAAGGGTGAAGATGCAAATGACAATTTATTGTTCATTAATGGCAATTACTGTTCATTAATGACAATTACTATTCATTAGGTGAAGTTGCACTATCACTTGTGCTCTTCACCCTCTTCTCTCTTCCACAACCCCCGAACTCCCTCCCGCTCTCTCCCTGGTTCTTCTTCCCCGACTGATTTCCGACTCCGAAACTCTGTAGTTAACAGCCACAGACTCAGTTTTCCTTCACTGCAATTTCAGTCAAGAACCTCTCTGCAAATACACCATGTTTCTTTGCAATACCCAGTTGCAGAAGAAGCCCAGAACTTCAAAGCTCCAGAAATTGGAAATATTAAGAGCCCAGATGGAAATTCCGGGTCATTGTCGAAAGGCTACATCTGGGTCAATCCCAGCAGCCTCAGAGCTTCACAGTTGCAGCACAAGTCCTACGATTCCAGGTATGCTTCTTTGGTGAAAGTAGATGAGTGTTTGAACTCTTACACTCCGATTGAAAGTGATATTTTTGAAGCTTTAAAAGGTTTAAGGGATAATATTTTGGAACAAGACGCTGTGGTGGTTCTGAATAACATGAACAATCCGGAAAATGCTTTGCTTGCGCTTAACTACTTTCAGCAGAGGTTGAAACCGAAGAGGGAGGTGATTTTGTATAATGTGACTTTAAAAGTGTGTAGGAAGGGTAAGAATTTGGAGAGAGCAGAGAAGCTGTTCGATGAAATACTCCAGAGAGGTGTTAAACCCAATAATGTTACCTTTTCGACTTCGATTAGTTGTGCTGGGATGTGTTCTTTGCCTGATAAGGCAGTGGAGTGGTTTGAGAAGATGCCCAGTTTTGGGTGTAATCCGGATGATGTTACCTATTCGGCTATGATTGATGCCTATGGACGTGCAGGTAAGGTTGAAATGGCTTTCAGTTTGTATGACCGGTCCAGGACTGAGAAGTGGCGCATTGATCCAGTGACGTTTTCTACATTGATCAAAATTCACGGGCAATCGGGGAATTTTGATGGGTGCTTGAATGTTTATGAGGAAATGAAAGCTATAGCGGCTAAGCCAAACTTGGTTATTTATAACACTTTGTTGGATGCTATGGGAAGAGCTAGGAGGCCTTAGCAGGCCAAGAAAATTTACCGAGAGATGATCAGCAAGGAGCTTTCACCAAATTGGGTAACCTATGCAACTCTTTTAAGGGTCTATGGTAGAGCTCCCTACAGTGATGATGCTCTTATGGCGTGTTTACGAAACCGGAACGGAATGGCAAGAAACGGAATTGGATTCTTTTCCAGGCATTCAAGTTGTTTACTAACATTTCCGAAATCAAAAACAAGATAGGGTCCACTTAAAATCAGGAATTGGATCCCTAAATCTCCCGGAATCGGATCCCCTAGATGGAGGTGGTATTTGGATTCCAGGGAGAAGGCTCTTCCAGGAATCCAACTTTTATACCCAAACTACCCCTGCATCTTCTACGTCCCCCTTCGTACCTGTGACTCTCTTTGCCCAATCTGCCGACTCCCTTGCTCGTTCACCAGCTTAATCACGATTCTGGATGATTTTGTGCCAGGATTTGAGACTCGTTCGGTATCTGGAATTGAAGCGGCAGTGGTGGTCACTACACTCTAACACCTGGAATTGAAGCTGCAATGATGGTGGATCCATTGCTATGGTGGTTGTGGGGTATATTCGGCTGTGTGGTTGGAGAGAGATGGAAAAATAAGAGGGGGAAGCTGAAGGTAGTTTTGGGGTATGAGGGCGCTGAAGATGGTTTTGGGGTATGAGGGCGGTGTGGAGTTTACGAGAAAGAAGAAAAATGAAGAGTTTCTGGGTGATTGGGAACCGGGCAAGGAGATTTGTTGGGTGTAATTTAATTTAATTTAATTAATTAGTATGAAAATAATTTATTTATGTAAGGGCAATTTAGTAATTATATTAGTTTTAATTCCGATTGAAGTGAATTAGTAAACAACTTATATGAACTCAACATCATTCATATTCTGATTCCAGACAGTTATAGTAAACAACTTTAACAAGAATCTGAATCTGATTCCAATTCATTTCAATTCCCCATCAATCCAATTCCTCCTCAATCCAATTCCTCTCAATATGATTACGGATTAGTAAACGCGCTATTAATGTTTATAAAGAGATGAAGGAAAAGGAACTGGAGTTAAATGTTATTCTCTATAACACCCTTTTAGCTATGTGTGCTGATGTTGGTTACACGGAGGAAGCCGTTGAGATTTTTGAAGAAATGAAGAGTTATGAAACACTGAATCCTGACAGTTGGACCTTTTCGTCCATGATTACCATATATTCCTGTAGCGTGGAAAGTCATATAGGCAGAAGCAACATTGAATGAGATGTTGGAAGCTGATTTTGAGCCAAATACCTTTATTTTGACATCACTCGTCCAATTCTACGGGAAGGCAAAACGCACTGATGACGTTGTTAAGATATTCAATCAACTCCTAGAATTGGGTATAACACCAGATGAGCGTTTCTGTGGTTGTCTCCTGAATGTGATGACTCAAACACCAAAGGAAGAACTTTGCAAGCTTGTGAATTGCATTGAGAGGGCTGATGAAAAACTAGGGTATGTGGTAAGACTTTTAGTGGAGAAGCAAGAAAGTAGTGAAAACTTCAAGAACGAAGCATCACAACTTTTTAACTCGATTGGTTCGGATGTAAAGAAGGCTTACTGCAATTGCCTGATTGATCTTTGTGTGAACCTCAATCTCTTGGAGAGAGCCTGTGAGCTACTAGACTTGGGGATCACACTTCAGATATATATAGGCTTATAGTCAAGGTCTCAGACCCAGTGGTCTCTGTATCTCAAGGGCCTCTCTCTTGGGGCAGCTCTGACTGCATTACATGTTTGGATCAATGACCTATCT